ACCTTTTCTAGCTGGCCTGCATGTACTTACGTACTCACCTTTTGTCTCCTTTTGTTCCGTTGGCCTGGGTAGCTACTTGCGCGCCCATATTTGTCATAGCTACCCAGGCCCTTTATCTTGCCGTTCAGACTTGATCTCTCGCTCTCTCTTTTCTCACTCTTCAATGTAGTCGTTTCGTTCGTCTTGGTCTCTTGTCTCGTCGTCTATAATAAATGTCGTTCCCCCAACCTACCTGTTCCCGTTGTAATGTCTGGATAATGTGTCGTCAGTCGTCCTGTTTCGAACTCAACATTGGCGCCCGATTATTGATCGACCCACGACCCTGAGATCATCCCATGCCCAGTCGTCCTCAACCGCCATTCGTCTCGTCTATGTCAACCTCGTCTCGTCCATGTCAGTCTCGTCTCTCCTACGCCAACCTCGTCTCGTCTCTATCAACCTCGTCTCTCCTACGCCAACCTCGTCTAGTCTCGTTCAAGCCATGCAGGTCAGCTACCTTTCACTCTTTCTTTTTTTTGTATGCTTCTTCGTCAAATTTTTTTTCCTGAATTTTTTTTGTAGTGTGTGCGCGCGCGTGTGTTAGTAAAACATTACCAAGTTAGGGGTCCGATCATGGTGAGCCACGCTCTAATTTTTGGATGTTTAGCAAAAGTGTAACTAGGCTGTATTAGCCGTGCAAAATACTAGTAATTCATGTTCCTCGTCAAACTCCAATAGTTATTACACACTATAAGTAGTACAGGAATGAGCTGTAGTGCATTTAGTACACACTTTCGTGAGATCCGTGCGCGCGTGCAGTATGTGTGTGTGTGTGTGTGTGTGTGTTTTCTTCTCCTCCAGTTCATTTTTTTTAAAATATTTCCTCTTTTTTTCTCTCCGCGAGGACGCGGGATTTTGTTTCATGGAGGGGTGGTATGTTAGGTCGCTCTGTTGACGCTCCAAAATTGCTTATCATCTCCCTCCCTCCCCCTCCCCCTCCCCCCTCTCTCTCTCTCTCTCTCTCTCTCTCTCTCTCCCTCTCTCTCTCTCTCTCTCTCCCCGTAGCTCTCTCCCTTTTGAAATTCGCTTCCATAGAATTGGGCACCATTGCCCGTTTGGCCTTGCGAAGCAAAATAAAAATCAACAACAACAACAAGGTACCTCCTCCCGTACCTTTTCTAGCTGGCCTGCATGCACTTACGTACTCACCTTTTGTCTTCTTTTGTTCCGTTGGCCTGGGTAGCTACTTGCGCGCCCATATTTGCCATAGCTACCCAGGCCCTTTATCTTGCCGTTCAGACTTGATCTCTCGCTCTCTCTTTTCTCACTCTTCAATGTAGTCGTTTCGTTCGTCTTGGTCTCTTGTCTCGTCGTCTATAATAAATGTCGTTCCCCCAACCTACCTGTTCCCGTTGTAATGTCTGGATAATGTGTCGTCAGTCGTCCTGTTTCGAACTCAACAGTACCATAAACCAGCGATAGGCATACCGTCATTGAAACTCTTCCCAAGTGGTCTGGACATGTGGTGAATTATGTACATTCTTCCAATCTTCTTTGGCACTGCACCAACGCCTTAACAATGCATACAAATGATAGGGGTGGCAGATAATTTGGGAGCAATCTGAGTGTGTGAGCATGACTGCATACTAATACTGGTGTTGTCTGAGATGAAAAGGACGCTGACCAGATGTAGGGTGTATAGTGGGACTGTTATATCTTCGCTCTCCGCTCCTCAACCTCTTTCCACTTCACATCACAATGCACCAAAGCCTGTAAAATTGACAATTGCATATCGGAGCTTCAAGCTTCGATATAACAGCGTATGCTTCACAGCTCATGTCAACCAGCCTCCATGGCAACCAGCCTCCATGGCAACCAGCCTCCATGGTAACAATTACCTTATACACAAATGGCTACTACGAGTGTCAGTGATATATTTATGACGCAGAAAACCAGAATATAACACAAGGGCCTAACACAAGGGCCTAACACCAACTGATTGTGTAGCCACACAATCCCACATCAGGAAAAAAATACCGGTATTCATAATCTAGTACAACGAGACTCCAACACTGTCTGTCCTGTAATTACTTGTAATGCGTACACCACGCATGTAGAAAAAATTGATTAATACAGCATAGTCACGGTATGTGTTTGCACACAATGACACCATCATGATGTAGATGAACAAGTACACTGTCAGCATTGTTTGAGGGCTGTGTAGATGCTGGAACAACAGCAGCCAATACTCCGGTTGTGAGCTCCTGCTGAATGCGGACTGACACAGTAGGCATGGGATCTCTGAGATAGATGCGCCGAAATGTAAACTTTTTGTTTTCAGCCAACCGCGCCCATGACCTCATCAGCAGACAAGACAGCAGCTGCAGCCGTCGACGATGGAGTGGCACCGGGTTACCGTAATGTCGCGTGCATAAGCCGGATTTGTGCATAAGCCTGTCTCGTGTAGAAGCATGAAATCTGCAACAGCTTTTCGCGTACAAGCCTGTCGCATGCATAAGCCGGGCCAGTACACGAGACGCGCCACGTGTCGCATGCGTAAGCCGGGCTACTACGCAAGACTGGTGAGCGCGCCTTTTACATGTTCATGTTTGCATGGTACCGTACACTTGCACACGCGGAAAACGTGGGAAGATGCGGAAATCAACACCAGCTGCGCTCGACGGCCATGCAGCACTCTTCAAGCTTCAAACTTACCTTTCCCATGGCATTTTCCGTCTTGTCCCTTGGCAAGTTGCTTGTTTGAAGTTGTTTCGGCGCTCCTCGAACTTTTCACTTGTGTTTGTTGCAGTCTACCCGTAGATAGAACTCATCTCAACCAAGTCTGCTTGTCGAAATGCCGAAAACACATACAAGCCTGGTCATTGAGTGGTGCTTGTCATATAAGCCTGTCTCGTGTATAAGCCTGTCTTGTGTACAAGCCTGACTCCATCACCGGCTTATAGGCATATAAGCCCCGGCTAATGCACGCGACATTACGGTAAATGCCCTTTGAACACCGATGTGTCAACGCCAACGTCATCCTCCAGTCCAAACCCCACTCGGGTAGCTGGATGCATTGACACTGCAGTTCTGGGAGCCTACCGTCACACCTCTGTCTTTGGAGCTGTTTGGCTTCGGAGAGCCGTGATTGTTGCCGGACTGTTGGTGTGACCTGGGTTGACGCTGTGGTTTTCTTGGAGTAATGTGTAAGCTTAGGGGCATGGCATGCGCAGATCCACCCGTCCCTACGGGCTCCTCTCCCTTGAAAAACGGCTCAGGGGAAGCCTCCGAAGGCTTCCAGCGGTTGGCTTTGCTGTCCCCTGGTCTTGTCCGAAGCTTGATGATCGTCTGTCTTTTCCATCCACGTGGCCATGACTTTGCAGCAGCCTACGCTGTAACTCGGCCCAAGCCTTGTCCGTTCCGCCTGCTTCGTTATCTGCTCATTCTGGGCAGGCCCAAATATTGACTCTCCACGGCTAGCAAGATCTGCTGTGGCAAGGCTAGAGATCTTGGGGTGGATCTTAGATAAACAGATGGAACGTCATTTTATGGTGAGTGCCTGGTTAGCATCTCCCAGGAGACATGATGCCGCCGTAGTGGCCTCAATAATCTCCTGACCTTGTTCACCGAGGTCAGGGTTTTGGGTGTGCTCAAAGACTTCACACAATGAACACACCACGGTCAACCGACTTCGCCTGCATCAGGTACTGCGGTCTATCCGGCTGAGCCTCCGAACAAGGTGGCTTCCTGATAGCAGAATATACCATGCGAGCGACTTGCGCATCAAAAGCCAGGACTACAAGTAATGCTGAGGGAGTTTCGGAGCGAGGGTAGCGGCGGGAAATCGCCTGCTGGGATTTGTGTTGGAGTTTTGAGTGAAGGCATGACTCAGGAAGCTTAGCAGTTTCGTACGAAACATAAATGGTAACCCCTTCTTCCTCCTCATCTCTGGCATCCACTGGCCAGTTAGTGTTGGGACCCACACACTCAGACACCAGACTATGTGTGCTACCAGATTGAGAGTCTAAATCATCAGTTGTCACACCAGGTAGCGTCGTACACGAATCATCAGTTGCCACACCAGGTAGCGTCGTACACGCGACAGGTGGCTTAATTGCTCCAGACCTGCTGAATCTTCAGGACCACTCAGGTCTGAGAGGAGAGGTTGTAGCCTAGGTGGCTCTCTCAAGGTGGATCGAGCAGCAAGTGGCTTCAGCGTGAGATGATTTATCAGGTCGCCACCAACAAACTGACCACACGTATGCTCAAGACCGATTCTAGAAGCCTGCACGGGCAGACTTCTGCATACAGTAGAACTCGCCAAAGAGGAGTCAGCCGATTGTGAAAGAACTGGGATCAGGAGTGGATCAGTTTCCGGGGTACATGTACCATCCACGATCTGCGAGTCATGCTCTTGCCTAGAGTTGGACTCCAAATTTCACTGCCGCATCGACTAGTATGGCATTCCAGGGATGCCAAACGCCTCTCCAGTGGGCGCAAGGCATCGCCCAGAGCCTGCTGGACTAGAGCAAAAACATCCTGAGGTGCGCATTACATACCGAAACTCAGACAACAGAAAACTGCAACTAAGTACTTCCTCGAGCAGAGAAAAAAGGTGAAGAAAAAGCTAGAGTTTCCGCGTTTGAGCTGATGGGTTACGTGTGGGGCAGTTTTCTTTTACGAAAATTTGTTTTTTCCCAATTTTTAGTATTACTGCTATCTCGAGCAAAGGAAAACCCGATTTCAGGTTGGTATACGCTGTTATATCGAAGCCCGAAGCTCCGATATGCAAATAGAATATGGGGATCCAAGAGAAAGTTTCCCACTTTCCAATGGTTTCATCGCTTTTAGGACAGGAGAAACGATCATTAGGAAATGTGAGTTGCTAACACTATCTACCAGACCAATGACTTACTGTAGAGCAATACTGCAGATGCAGTTTACATGTCTTGCTATACATCCAAAAGATGATAAAAATTGTGTACTGAGATAGATCTGGGTGCTGGTTTCTATAAACTAACCTTCACCCGATGATTGCCAAAATCAGCAATAAAGACCGTTCCATCGTTGCTGATTGTGATGCCATATGGATTAGTGAACTGCTCCCTGCCATTACCCTTGCTACCAAATGATGAAGAGTTATTGTGGATGGACCTATAGTGATTTTGTGTTGCACCCTGCAGATACATAGTAAAGGTTATATTCAAAACTTAACAATCCTGACCGGGGTATAATCACACTAGCCTGTTGGCCAATCAGTATTCATCATACAATCTGTTCACATAATGTGAGACAGCATAATGATGAATGTTCAAGATGTTATTCATGCGGTCTTTATAACATACCATGCTACGTGCATGGTGTTTGATTACGTATTGTCTTAACAACGAACACATATTGTTTCAACAAGAAACGGTGTAGGGATTTACTGCCCGGGAAAACAAACACACTTCAAAAAGCGATGCTGTGTAGACTGAAATGAGTAGTATTGGTCAATCCTTCAACTTTGCACTTTTAATGTCTATCAGGCTCAGCCCCATTCCCCCAGTGCTGCATTGATGAGGTCACACAGGACAGAACCGTTGTGTGTGTGTGTACTTCTGTGTGTGTGTATGTGTGTATGTGTGTGCGTGCATGTGTGCGTGCGTGTGCGCGTGTGCATGCGCGTGCGCATGTGCGTGCGTGTGCGCGTGCACGTGCGCGTGTGCGCGCGCATGTGCGTGTGTGTGCCAGCAAGTTCGGTTGGTGGGTACACTTATGCCAGATAAAGTTGGATCTGTTGCCAACAGGCTCGGCTGCTTGAAGGTGTAATGTTGTACCTGTCACCTTTGTTGGTTCCAGGGTTCATATACTTTTTATTTGAAGTGTACATACCTGTTTCCATGGGCTGCTTCTGGCTAGATTAGTAGCTCTTGTGTAATCACTGGTGCTAGTAAAGCTTCTAGTAAATCTACTCTGATTTAGCCACCCACACTAGTAGCAAGTATTACCTTCACTGGGGGCAGGGGTAACTGCAGTTGGATCTCAGGACGGATACCCTGATGTTGTCTATCCTTTTTCTGCACCTTGTCCTTGCCCACTTACTGAGGTGTGGTGGGCTCATAAGTGGGATGATTTTCAAGTCCACCCATAGTTAGGGGAATTCAGGGGGTATCGGCCCTTGGGCTGTTCAATAGCCAGTTGAGTCCTCTTTCCAGGGTTCCTTTTGAGCCCCTCTCCCCTCTCCCGGGGAGACCCAACGTGACCAGTTTTGGCAGTGAGCAAGTACAAGTACAAGTGTGTGTGTGTGTGTGTGTGTGTGTGTGTGTGTGTGCGTGTGTGCGTGTGTGTATGTGTGTGTGTGTAAAGGTTCTGCTGATCGCCAGCTGCCTGTAGCAGAACAGCCGGACGCACGTCAATACCATGCCTGCCTTCGGTGGTTCCGAAGTGCCAGTAGACTTGCTGTGCACAAGTGCACGACACCCGCCCCGGCATCACCGCCCACACCCCAGCGCATGCCAATCACCAGCCATCCGTGTTGCAACCAGCATTGCGCTACCTTTGATCGCTGTTTTTAATCTGCTCCTGGCTTTCGGCGACACAATTGCAATCGTGGACGGCGTCGTGGGTGAGCGGCTTCCTAGTGGCAGTGCTGAATTCTCTTGAACTCTCTCTTCTACTCTCCCCTGTCTCGGGGGCGGCGTGGCCAAGCATTTGGCAGCTGTACACCAGGCCAGGTGTGTGTGTGTACGTGTGTGTGTGTGAGTTGTTGAGTTGAGTGACGGTAGGGGTTGACGGTTTTTCCTCCGTCTTCTGCAAGTAGTTTCCAGCTACGGTTACAGGAGCATTAGATAGGTTGCGCTGAACCAGACGAAGTACATTTTCTCGTCGCGGGCGAGGAAATGAATCAGTGTCAACACCATGGTCACATCCAATGTGACCACTCGTACTGAACCTCGTCCGCCTGAGACCGGAGGCTCTGCTAAACCACGCTTGGAGTTCGGCTCGCAACGTGCGCCAGCAGCAAGGGGATTTGTGATGTCCATGGGGACGTGGAATGCCGGAACTTGGTGAACGTGGATGGCGATTTGAACACTGCCTCAAAATTATCAAAAATTCAAAAAAGACAACTCCGCGAGGAGAGAAAAATCGATCTTGTTTGCCGGCAACTGCAGCGCTACAGCATGGACGTCATTGGACTTCAGGAGACCCTCTGGTTTGGAACTAATTTCTACCAAGTCAGTTACTGTCTCGTCTTGGCGAGTGGCCGTCTGACTCCGTCTGATGGCGCCTGCGTAGTGGTGCTCCGGAGGATATGGAGGTTGCGCGTGAGATATTCCTCAAGGGCATGGATGTTGTGCTGGAGAAAGTTTGGACCCCGAATCCGTCCATCGAGGAGTGGTGGAGTACCCTCAGGACGACCACCATCAGCATTGCCAGCGACTGAATGGGTCGGGAGAGGCGCCGACAGCCAGAATGGTTTACAGACAAGCGCGCAGAGATCGAGTCGGTACTCCGTGATCAGGACAGTTGTTACTCAACCTGGATGTCAACGCGGAAGGCCAGTGATCTGGAATTGTCCAATAAATATCATAGTGCGGCGCGGTGCACCATGTGGAGGCTGAAGCGAGACTGCCTGCTGAGACAGGCAAAGGATTGTGAATGGTTTGGCCTGACGGCGAAGAGCGGTTGGTAGTGTATGGGTTACATCAAGACCACCTTGAGTGGTATGCATCCCCGTACAACAACTGCTATCAGAAACAAGCAAGGAGAGATTTGTGATACTGGTACTGCCTTTGCGAAGATCCAGCTAGCTCTTTGTTTTGTTTGTGATTACAAAGAAGTGGAAGATGTTTGGTTGCTGCTAGTGTGACACATACATCTTACTTGAAAATGACTTCCTTGTATCGAAGGTAGCGGTGCTGCCCATGCGGCTCTGAACTGAAAGACGTCGGAGCTTGTCATCTCCGTCTTCAGCTACATCGTCAGATGAATCGCGGCTTCACGTAGCTAGATTGCGTTCCTTTGGGGCTCGGGTTGTTGGGGTTATCACTCGCCAGAGGTGTACTGTTTTCTGCACACGCACTCACCATCGTGTTGTTCCTCACATGAAAAATTCAAAATGTCGACGAACTTTCGTGCCCACAAAATAAAACTAATGAGATCATCTAGGAAGAAGTCAAAAGGTGAACGCTCGGCTCCTTTTTATTTCGATTTGGCTGCTGCACGTGGGTCTCTGCGTCTTTGCCATTCTCCTTCTGTACGACGTACCAATAGGGCCATTTGTGTTGGATCATGGAGTTCAGAAGGCACACATGCACCGTACATCATGGTACATCGGAACAGCTGGCTCGATCGACCAGCACACGGGCTTGACTTCGTTTTTGACGACGAATGTAAGCGTAGAGGTCAAGTCTGGCGTGACGTCACTCAGTACTTGGGGACAATTTGGGCACCTTCTTTTCAAGTTTTCACCCACTTCCAGCTAGGGAAAATGTAGTACACCATCGTGATCAGGAGCAAAAGACTACAAGACAAGACAAAGAACAGTTTTGGTGACAGCCTGTCTCATTATGTAGGACTCAAACAGCAGTCATGTCCCACGTAGCAGTCACCGTCCCCAAAGTCACTCATACAGACAACATTACTCACACTCCAGTCACAGTTTGCGTCTTTTGAGAAACCAGTTGTGGTGCCCACAAACCAGTCACAGAATGCCACGACTTGACCTCTTTGCGATCACGTGTGCACAGAGTCAGAATACATGCATGTATGGCGCGCAAGTAGTACTGCTTTATGTGTCCAATTATTATTTCGAATTACAGTATTGTGCCCGATTCGATATCAATATTTTTTTTCATCTACTCACATCCTCCGTAAGGTTAGTGAAAGAGAAGACAAGAAGCAGTCGCTGGCTGCTGAATTACGCCTGCCGTGACGATTTGAGGCCATCCCTGCCCTCCTTCTCGCTCCTGATTGGAGAGCGAATACTGCGATGGGATCAGCGATACAAATTTGCAATTTCGAGTCGCAGTCTGTGCCGACATCGCCACAGCCAATCTCTCCAAGCGTCCACCACATCTAGAAGACGTCGATATTACCTGGAACAAGCTACGTCTTCCCTACAAGCAGCGATACTGAGCGAGAACACGATCGAAACAGGGAAAATTGTTTGCCCTGAAAAGCATACTTTTGAATACGTTCGTTCTCCATACTTTCAAATGGCAACCAATCCATGTCATACATCAGCGCTGAAAAGCATACTTTTGAACACGTTCGTTCTCCATACTTTCAAATGGCAACCTACCCATGCCATGCATCAAAGCTGGTGACTTGTTTTGGCTCTCTGTGACTTGTTTGTGACTGTCGACTAGTATCAGAGGATTTGTGTGACTGTATGACTGGTATTAGGGGCAGTGACTGCTATGAGAGGCCTGATTGGTATCAGAGTCCCACATAATAATTATAGAAACATGTTTTGAAATCAAGCCTGATTTTCAAGATGCAATGTTGGCTCACAAGCCTGGTTTTAGTGTTGCCATACATAGAAATACCTGTCTTATTATAGAAGCCTGTCTCATGTAGAAGCCTGCAAAAATTCCCCCTAAAAGTCATGTCAATTTGCTGACGATATTCTATTGTATGTTTGCGGTACGCAGAAGAATGCACTTAGCAACTCCCTGTCTGCAGCTGTCTCAGCCATTAGTACCTGGCTGTCAAACCGCAATTTAATTCTAAATGCCCGGAAGACACAAGTGCTCTTCCTGTCTACGCCACATATTACTGACCACAATCTTGCAGTCTACTGTCATGGAGTGCAGCTCAAGCAAGTGACATGTGCAAAGTACCTTGGAATACATTTGGACCAGGATCTTTCTTGGAGGACTCAAGTTGATTCTATGGTCACCAAACTTGCCAGTAAAATTGGTATTCTGTTCCGAAATCGACACAATATTCCGCTGACTTGCCGAGAAACCTGTGTAAAGTGCCTAGTATTGCCAGATTTTCTATATGCATCAAATTGTTTTTCTGCTGGCTTTTCCTTAACCCAGTTAGGTAGGCTTGAACGAATGCTAAAGCCAGCTTTGCGTTCAGTGCACGATACTGGTTTTTGTAGCCCATCAAGCCCTTTATTTGCGAGACTTGGTCTAGATCGTTTGGCATCCATGTATTGCAAGAAATTACTGTATCTGACGTG